CAGCACAGGAGCACTGTGACAGCAGTGGGAGAAGGATCCACAGTCTGCTCTGTGGGTGAGCAGATGCCTCAGCTCTGGGTGCTGGGGTGAAAAATGAGGCCTTAAAGCTGCCACAGGGAAGGGATGGGGTTGTGTAAATTTGTGTTGGAGACAAGGCCTGGGACTTGGTTCAAAGAGAAGTGGGAGGGGAGCCCCTCTTGCAGAGCTATCTACAGTGTGCCCTGGGCTTGGAGAAGGACCCCCCTCCACAGCCACTTCTGCCCTAGGTGCACTGCATGGATGATGTCTGTGGGCTCCTTCCTTTCCTAAATCCAGAAGTCCCTGACCAGTTCTACCGCCTCTGGCTCTCACTTTTCCTCCACGCTGGGTAAGCAGAGCTGTAAAACTTCCACTATGGGGTGGGGGCACCCTCAGCCTGGGGTTTGCTGCGAGGGTTGTGGCTGTCCCTCGTGGGGACACAGGGATCTGAGCTGTGCCCTCGTGGGACACAGGGACCTGAGCTGTGCTCTCTGCCAAGGCTTGCCATCCTGTGTTTGTTGGGAGGGATTTGCAGCATGGGTAAGGCCAGAGCAGGAACTCTGAGCAAGGCTGGGGACAGAACACGAGCACAAGGGTGACTTCAGTGGCTGCTGCTTCAGCTCCTGTACTGTGCACTTGGCAGGATCCTGCACTGTCTGGTCTCAGTCTGTTTCCAAATGACGATCCTGCGGGACCTAGAGAAGCTGGCAGGATGGCACCGCATCTCTATCATCTACCTTCTCAGTGGCATCACTGGGAACCTTGCCAGTGCAATATTTCTACCCTACAGAGCTGAGGTGGGTCTCCTGCAGCCTGGGGTCCTGGTGACTTGCCCTGAGCACAACCCCTCTCTACATGCCTGTGCCTCTGTGGCTGAGGCAGAGCCACCAGAGCTGGGCTCACCACTGCAGCCTTGGCACTTGCAGCTCGAAGATGGCACCACACCATCATTGAACTGCTGAGCAGCACCATCCCCTGGGGTACCATGGGCTTTCCAAGTGGACTGGCTGCAGGGAAAGGGCTGCCTCTCCTAACAGATGGGGGATTGTCCAACCACGGGCTGAGAGAGGCTCCAGGCAGGCTCGGAATCAAGTGTGGTGTCAGACACCCTCCACCTGACAGTGGCAAAGAGCAGAGCTCACTGTGCCCACAGGAGACTGCATGGCTGGACCTGCAGGAGCCTTCCAGCTCCTGTCATAGGGAAAACTGCATGGTGGGTGGGGGGACCCAGGAGATTGCCTTCAAGGGCTTCTCCCCTCTGGAAACTTGAACCAGATCTGCCCTCCTTAGTCTGTTCTGGCCTCACGCCTTGATCCTAAATCCAACCAGGCCCCTTTACTCCTGGCACCCCATTACATGGATGAAGTTGCAGAGTCTCTTTGCTAAGAAATCACTGAACAGGAGTTGAGTAAGAAGTAACTAACTCCTGGAGCTGGCTGCAGAGGCCAGGCAGGTGGCATGAGCCTGACATCTGTAATGCTCTTCTTCTGCAGGTTGGCCCTGCAGGATCCCAGTTTGGAATTCTGGCCTGTCTCTTTGTGGAGCTCTTCCAGAGCTGGCAAATCCTGGCACGCCCATGGAGGGCTTTCTTCAAGCTGCTGGCTGTGGTGCTCTTTCTTTTTGCCTTTGGGCTCCTGCCTTGGATCGATAATTTCGCTCACATTTCAGGATTTATCAGTGGTTTCTTCCTCTCCTTTGCCTTCCTGCCCTACATTAGCTTTGGGAAGTTTGATTTATATAGGAAACGATGCCAAATTATAGTTTTCCAGCTCATCTTCATCGCACTCTTCTCAGGACTGGTGATTCTGTTCTATTTCTACCCCATCAAGTGCGAGTGGTGCGAGTTCCTCACTTGTATACCCTTCACAGACAAATTCTGCGAGAAATACGACCTGGATGCACAGCTCCACTGACAGCAAAGACTGGCTTCTCGAGCAGGCCCTGGAGATGGACTGTCTTTGCATTTGCTGTGCCAGTTCCATGGGGACAAAGCCTCTAATCCAATGACACTTCTAACCCTACCCGTGGTTAATTTAAACTGTCTCCTTAGCACTTGGCAGGCATGGTTTGCCTTATCTCAGAAGACTCTGAAAAACAGAACGTTTGTGCCTTGTTCAATTGTATTGAACCTTTTCTGCTGCCATTATTTTTATTACACTAGTTTCAATACTACATTTTTAACCAGAGTTGTTTACTACTGCTAAGGTGGTGATTAAACAGTGAGGTAGCGTTTTAGCTACTGTGAATTGTTCTGAGTAGTCTGTGCCTACCTTTGTTACTTAATCTCACTCCTGCTGTTTCATGTACCCTGTGGAGCACCCAAACCAGCCAGATACACATGTGCAGCTGGAAATACGGGCCTGAAAAGCCTCAGAAAACTAGAGGGTCTCTTTAATCCCTGAAATCCACATACAGCTCAAAGGCAAACACCACAAACAGCAACTGTAAAAAATATGAGAATGTCCAGTCAATGGAGTTTGTTCCTCTTTCAAGTGTGACAGCCTTTTCCTCCAGGAAGATGCTGAATCCACAGTCTGCTCTTGGCAGGGCTGGATTCTCTGGTCTCTCTGTTTAAGAGAGAAAATATTTGTCAGTGACAATAATTACTGCATGCTGGGCTTTTCTCACCACACTGCCATGATGGTCCAGGAGGGACCAGCCAGTGCCAGAGGTGACTGCTGGTCACAGGCGCCCTGGAGCAGGTGGCTGTTGTTAGGGCACACATTTTATTACACTGGATATTGAAAATATGGCAGTGCTGAAAGAAGAATAAAAGGTACCTGTGGTCAAAAAGGAACAGTTTTTAACCCAGCTACCTGGAGCAGCAAAACAACACAAGGCTTTGGCCAAGCTGCTCTTAGCCCTATTCTTCAGCCACTGTGACTGTTTCTAAAAACATAATTTAAAACTGCCTGAGAGTCTTGGCTACATCTTGTGTTTGTGTGCACAACTTTCTCAAAATAGCAGTACTAATACCAGAATTATGTCTGCATGAGTTAGAAACCCAGCCATGCTCCTGACAATGATTTCCAGACATTTAAAAAGCCTGAAAGAAAGCAAGGTCTTAGAAGCAATCACAGCAGCAAAGGAACACTGTGCTTAATGAGTCTCAAGACAATGTAGAAGCTGACTGAGAGTCTAAACATAGAGTCAGCTATTGCTGCTGCTGCTCCCAGTGTGTGTCACCTGAAGTAGCTGAATTATCATTCCCTGCCCCGAGAGGAGCACAAACAACACCACCAGGATCTGGGCACAGGCACCAGCCTCGTGCAGGCATTCAGAAATACTCTGCCAGCCAGCAGAGAGCAGCAGCATCAGCTCAGAGCCTCAACAGCATGGCCTGGGGAGGATGGGGAAGGAACTGGGAGCTCTTAGTGGACACTCAGAACTTACCCCACAGGTCACTTCCGAAGCTTCTTTATGAAGCTGACCTCGTCCCGGTTCCTGATGCCATACCTGAGCACAGAGTTAGGATGTTAAATGCCAGCTTCCCAGCAACAACAACCTGTGAAACCCCATAGCTTCATCCTTCCCAGGGACACAGGGACTCCTACAGTCCCGTGCTGTGCTCTACTAGAGGACACATGAAAATTCTCACTTGTGCATGCGGGACATGCTGCCAGCACTGAAGGATCTGCTCATCTGCCTTTAACTGCAACAACCCCTTAAATGCAACGTTTGTCACCCAGGCTCACTTTTCCAAGGACAGCTTTGATTAGGGCTGTCTTGCTTATTTTTTCGTATTTCAGACCACCTTTTCTCACTGGTGTGCAACAGGCTGGCAGACCCAACACTGCAGGGAAGTGCCTCATCCCTCCTTGCCTCAAGAATGGGCAGGAAAACATGGGAGTCACCTGTCAGCGTTGTTACCAGAGTGTCTGAGAGGTGGCTGAGCAGCTCCAAAGATCAACACCCATCCTTGGGCTTCCTCTTTGCTTGGCATTCTTCATAAAATCACAGAATGTTATGGGGTTGGAATGAACCTTACAGACCATCCAGTCCCAACACCCCTGCCATGGACAGGACACCTCTCACTAGGTGATGTTTCTCAAAGCCTTATCTAACCTGGCTTTGGCCACTGCCAGGGCTGGGGCATCCACAACCTCCCTGGGCAACCCGTTCAGTTCCTGTTTGCTGCTCTTTCCTATCCTACATCAGTATCTGTGCTGAGCTGAGTAACTGTAACCATCTGTAGGAGTTCGGGAGGGATGGCCAAGGGTTCTTTGGGGTGCTCTGACCTGGCTGAACCCAGCACAGGATGGTGCTGGCTGAGGATGAGGAACTCCCCAAGGCCAGCCTGTCCTGCAGAGAGCCTGAGTGTGCCTGTCCCACTTCTGTGGGCAGTGCTGTCCCACCTCCCAGCCAATGTCCAGCACAGGGCACAACCTCCCAGCTCAGCCCTGCCCCTGGGGATGCTGCATGGGCCCCTCTCAGCCCCCAGCGCTGACTCGGTTACTCACTCTCTCAGCTTCTTCCTGTCATCCGCCAGCTTCTCGCCATTGAACGTGAGGTGGTACGTCCTCCATATGTACTTCCTGCGGGAAAAACACTCAGGGGCAGCCGCGGGAGCGGGACCGGGCTGGGATGCGCTCCCGAGCCGCCCGCCCGGCCCCGCTCACCAGCTGAGGTGCTGGACGCCGCCCTGCCGGGCCTGCCTCAGCTGGAAGTGCCGCCGCAGCGCCTTCTTCAGCTCCAGCACCGAGGCGTTCTGCACCACCACCACGGCTGCGGGGCGGGGAGAGCCCGTCAGGCCCGCCGCGCCCCGGCCCCGCGCGGCCCCGCCCGGCCCCGCACGCACGCACGGTCTCGCCGTCCGCCTTGCACACCCGCACCGTCATGGCCTGCCCGTACTCCAGAGCCACCTGCGAGCCGATCTCCTCCGCCGTCACCTGCGGGCGAGCGACACGGCCGTGAGCCCAGCCCCGCCGGCCCGGCCCGGCCCCCGCGCCGCGGGCGCACCTGCGGGGGGAGGTCGCAGAGCAGCGGGTCCTGCACCAGCCGCGCCAGCGCCGCCTGGAACAGCTCCAGCACCTCGGCGTGCGCCAGCTCCTCCGCCGGCTCCGCCGCCGGCTCCTCGGCCGCCATCGCCGGAAGGGGCGGGCGGCGCGGCGGAACCGGCGATGCTGCTCTTCTGCCCGGCCTGCGGGAACGTGCTGGTGGCCGAGGAGGGGCCGCGCTGCCACCGCTTCGCCTGCACCACCTGCCCCTACGTGCGCAACGTCACGCGGAAGGTACCGGGGCGCGGGGGGCGCGGGGGCGGCCCGGGGCTGGGAGCCCGGGGGGCCGGGGCCCGCTGAGCCGCTCCCGGTGCGCTCCCGCAGGTGACGAGCAGGAAGTACCCGCGGCTGAAGGAGGTGGACGATGTGCTGGGCGGCGCCGCGGCCTGGGAGAACGTGGACTCCACGGCAGGTAGGGCCGGGCCGCGGGGCCGCGCGGGGCTGGCCGCGCCCTGCCGGCCCCTCACGGCCCCTCGCGGCCTTTCCCGCAGAGCCGTGCCCCAAGTGCGAGCACCCCCGCGCCTACTTCATGCAGATCCAGACGCGCTCGGCCGACGAGCCCATGACCACCTTCTACAAGTGCTGCAACCCGCAGTGCGGGCACCGCTGGCGGGACTGAGGGCGGCGGGGACGGGCGGTGCTGCTGCTCCTGCAATAAACGCGGCACTGCGGGCGAGCAGGCGGCTGCTGCGTGGTTGCTTTGGGCCCGGCAGGGAGGGGACACAGGCTGCGGCAGGGTGCTGAGCCCCCGGGAGGGCAGGGGTAAAACATACGGACCACCCGTGCTGAAAACAGACAGGGCTGAAGGTAACCGAACTGAACGCGGTGAGGAAACCCCAGCCCTGAGCACAGCACAGCACAAAAGGCAAAGCAGAGGGGAGGTGTTACCACTGTGGCCTTACACAGAACCAAAAAAGGGGCATTTGTTGTGAGCTGTGAAAACCCCATCATTAAGGAGGAACTACAAACTACACGCTGCAATCAGTTACTGATAAAAGGAGAATGTGCTTCAGGTAGGATCATGTATTACTTGTGTTTTAACACCAAGCTTTATTCTCAGTTTAAATACATTCAGAAGTAAAAACAATAAATAACTTAATAAAAACATGATGGAGCACAAATTGTAACATTTCATCTCCACGAACACTCCCTCCCACAGGCAAGGCCAATTTCCTATGACTGAGCTTTACCCCTTCTATCCAGGGATAATCTGCACCCATTTATTCCAGTTCATGTCGCAGGGGAACACTCTCCCCAGCCTGAGAGTACAGTCTATCGTGGGCTCGTAGTAGATGGTTGGGCTTTCACTCAGTTTGGGATTCTGTAGTTGTTCCTCCACAACTGGCTGAGAAAAGAGTGACACTGGGGATGGCTTTTTCATGTAGAATCGTCTAATGCAACCAAGAGTTTCCAGACCCTGCAAAAAAATTCACATGGTTTAATATGCTGTGAATGCTGCTCTAGCTACAGTGTTCTCAGAAATGTTGGACGATCTATACCCAAAGTGGCTTCAAGTGAGCTCCTGAAGAGCCCATGGTTACAACACCAAGGTAAAAAGAATACCAGCTTAATAAAACCTGCAAGCTCTGGCTATAGCTGGATAGATCTGGTTACTTTCAAGCACAGTGGTTGATACATGGTTACTGATACAAGGTGCCCAGCAAGAGATGTCAACATTTAGGACCAGTTACAAAAAAATCTAAGGCTGCTTTAGATGTCAATCCCAGACTTCTGTGCCAGTTAATGGTTAACAGGTCTATGATAAGCTCTGCCTGTGGTTTCTAAACCAGTTCTTAGTGAATTTATTGGTGCAGAACTTAGATGGGAGTTCTCCATTCTGTAATATGTAGAGGTAATTAATTGCTTGATTTTGTGGGTTTGAATTCACATTACCCAGGAATTTATAGTGGAACCCCAGAGCAGGATATGTGTGACTGGCAACACTCCCAGCTGGCACTGTCACCACAGGGTACAAGCCCTGGGGAAGAAGTGGCACATGGACACTGGAAAATGGATTTCCAACTAGCAGGGAAGTCATGCTTTTGGGAAAGCCTGCAGGATTACTGCTCTGCTTCAGATTCTGAACATTTATAGGAGAAAAATAGAAATCAAAATTCCATTTCCAAAGTGATGGAAACTGAATGTCAAGATGTGGGAATAAAATTAAGAGAAACTCAAAATTTTCTTGCCATCTTTGTTTGACAATTAAGGACCTGTAGGCAGGTCAGAAGGTCTGATTTACACATTGTCTAGCACAGACACATGTCAGTTTGATTCTCGTGGCAGACTACCCATCTAGAAGGCATATAAAAAAATAAGAATACTTGATTATCTGTGGTGACTGGGGACTGGAACCAGAGGATCTTTAAGGCGGCTGAGCAGCTCCAAAGATCGACACGCGTCCTTGGGTTTCCTCTTTGCTTGGCATTCTTCACAGGACCACAGAATGTTACAGCATTGGAATAGACCTTACAGACCTTCCAGTCCCAACACCCCTTCCAAACTGTTCTGTGATTACCACTGCATCAAACAGTCAATTTCATGGTGACAAGCCCCACTCTTCAGCAGCCTCCCAGCACATCCCTTTCAGCAGCAAGCCAAGGGTACAGCAGGCTTCCCTGCTCCCTGCTCTGGCTGTGCCTCACTGACCCCAAGGGCAGCAGGGTGCTCTCCCCTTGCCCTGGCTGTACCTGCAGGATCTCCAGCACGGCCACGGGCTGCAGCACGCCGCTGTAGTGCTGCAGCAGCCGCGCCTGCGGCACGCCCGGCCTGCTCATCACGTGGTAGAGCACGGCCTCCATCATGCCCTTGCACACCGGCTTGTTCAGCTTCCCGTCCACGATCCTCCACGGCCTCCCGACGAAGGAAACGCTCTCACAGGCCCTGCCAAAGACAGGGAAAATCGGCTCTCAGGAGTTCTTCGGGATAGTTTCTCATCCTTGGAATTTCTGCCTCTGAGAGGTTCTCGCTGTATTTGTTTTAACTCAGGTGTAAATCATGTGGCTGCTCTGAGCAAGGGCTGGTGCTGCTCTACCAAATCTGCATTTTTCACCAGGGGTTCACCCCTCTTAGCACCATTACAAAACAGCAGCTGCCCTGGCTCTTAATGAGCAGGGAAGCTTTCTTTGGTATTAGCTCCAATATCCTCCAAAAGTTATCCAAGACCTGCACCACGCAGCACCAGTGCTCTGATGGGAGGCAAATCCCTCATTTTTAGTATTTTAGCGTTCAAAAGACAATCCCTGCATGGAAATTCACATTTCTCATATTGCAGTTTCTCCAGGCCTTTCCTGGGCACCTGGAAGCTGGCACTGGGCTTATTTGTGCAGTAAAATCAGGTTTGGTCCTCTGATATTTGGAGCTCATTGGTTTCTGGGTAAAAATATCTATCAGAGACATTTTTCCAGCAGGCACAGGAGCACAAGGAACGTTAATAGGAACAATGGAGTGGGGTTTCTCCACTGCTCATCAGAGCATAAAACTGAGGTTTCCAAACCACTGCTTCCAGTACTCTTTTGGCAGTGCCAAGTGTTTGGTATTCTGCAGACAGCTCTGTTACTCACCGGTCCCTGGCTGCCTGGGAGACATCTGTCATGGAGCTTCCTGGAAAGAAAAGGACACATATTTCCTAATTAACTCAAATTCCTTATCTAATGGAAGGAGAGTTAAAGGTGGCCAAGCTGTGAAGTGCAAGAGCTTGCTAGGAAAGCACAGCAGCAACTACTCCATGTGCTGCTCTCAGTTTTGGGGAGCTCTGAGCTGCCCCTCTGCCCTGCCTGCAGCAAACTCTTCCCACACCTCCTCCCACAGCCACTCTCTTTACTCAACCCCACTTTCTGTGGCTCCTTTCCCCAGTCCCAGCAGGTTTTATTCCTAGAAGTCTGATGCTCTGGCTAACCATGGTGACTGTATGGGCTGAAAGTGCACAGAGAGCTGTGCAGGGTCTCAGCCTGGAGCTCTCCAGGCGTCTGGGCAACCTAAAGCTCCTGGAAATCAGAGGGATGTAGGGCAGAGCTCCAAGGAGCTGGAGATGTGAATGTAAACTCAGGATTCCAGTAAGACCCAATTTCAAAGCAAAGGCTGTCTCTGCAACTCCCATTACATTACATCATATGTTTTAATTAGACAATTACTTAACGAGGTATTCCTACCACACCCAGAGGGTAACAGCTTTGGCTTAAGCACATGTAAACATTCACTGGCCAGTGAGAACTCTGTGTTTGATAACAGAACTCCTGTTTTTTCTCTCCTATGCTACAAACAAGTCAAAGATGTTAAATCCAAGGAAGTACTTCAGTAGTTTAATTTAAGAACTGCTGAGGTCTCTGCTGTTTAGACAGCCCCGAGTGCATTTCCTGCAGGAAGGCTCCAGTTAAACAATCCCAAGCTGTGGGATGTTAGGGATCACCCTCTGGACCTGGGTACTGGCAGGGCTTGGCAAGGTACCACAGGAGCAGTGAGCCTGTGGTTCAGTCTGAGATTAGAGCTCATAAAAACCAAACCAAAATGAAATCCCCCTCAAACTGCTAAATGTAAAGCTTGGCAAGAACTACTAGCTATTAGAAAACTGGCAGTAAAAAGGAAAGGAAAATGAAGTCCAATTGGGTTACAAATGAGGCTGTTAAATCTCACTGGCATGTGCTGCTTCCTGGTGAATGGTTTAATGAGTTTAGGACTTTCAGCCACGGACATTCCAGCTAAATGCACACCAGCAGTGCTGTGTTTTCTAGGCTTAGAGATGCCTGACCTCTGGACTGAAGCCAGAGATGAGAAACTTCAGATCCAAATTATTCTGGAAAAAATTAAGACATGGAAACAAGTTTCTAAGGAAAACATACTTCTAGTCATTCCAGCAAAAGGCACAGGAAGGATTATGGGATGTATATGAAAACTCTGAGACCTTCCAGATGAATTAGTGTTATGCCAATTTCTCTGTGAGAGAAGACAATCTCTCTGGTACAGCTGCATAAAGAATCCAGGATTTGCTTATGAAGTGGAGCTACTGGTTTGGGATCAACTGCTGATGAGCTGGTTTGTATTTCAGGGATACAGAAGGCTCTCCATACCTTTAGAGACTCCTGGATTCTCCTGGAAGCAGGAAAGATCATCATCCTGCTCACTGGCTGATTGTTCAGGGATAGGGATCTGCTTGCTGTGCTCAGTGCTGAGCTCATCGTTCTCTACTTCGGGTTCTTTGTCCTCAGAATGAGATTTATCCTGTTCCTTGGAAGTGTCCACATCCACAGCCTCTGGAGCAGGCTCGGGGAGTTCAGCTGGGGGTTCAGCTGGGGGCTCCAGGGAGCCTTCTTCACCCCCAGTGACAGCTTCCTTCCTTGGGACAGGCTCAGGAACAGCTGCAGCCAAGCTCCTGCCATCTGCACTTGCCAGAGCAGGCTGTGCACCCTGGCAGAGGTGACTGTCACTCTGCAGGATGTCAGTCTTACATCTCTTCCTCGGGGGCTCCTCATCACTGGCACACTGTGTGTCTTTTCCCAGCTGCTCCTCCTCTCCCAGACTCTCCTGTCCCTTCCCTGGCTCCGAGGGCAGCTGTTCCTGTGGCACATCTGGGACAGCAGGGTCTGCCCCTGGCTGCTCAGCATCCTCTGCTTTGTTCTTCAGGCACACCGAGCGTAGCAGCCAGGGCTTGGCAAACACTATGGCCACCAGTCTGACAGTG